ACCACTTATTAAAAACTACTGTTCTTTATATATTCATTTATGTATACAAATGGGAAAAATGTATATACTATATCTTTTTCCCTCGTTCGTTCTTTTTCATTTATATGCATCTAAATTCCATCATCTTTCACTAGTTCTTTATATATCAATTTTCAGATCGCTTGGTTGTTGTTCTTGTTGTTGTCGGCATCCGGGCAGAGATACCGACCTCAGCACTTTTGGAATCGGCATTAGAATTCAGCCTCGGCGGCGGAATCTGAAATTGACGACAGATTCCGGGGATACGGTGTTTTATTCTTAGGCGCCTCGAATCTGAATTTGGAGTCTTGGGGTGGGGTGGTTGTTGGGAGAGGGAAGAGGAGGGGATGTTCGGAGAGGAGTGGGAGGAAGGGAGAGGGGGGAAAGGGGTACTGGAAGGAGAGAGAGAGCACGAATTTTAAGAGGGGGGTGGAAGCAGTATGATTTGATGGGAAAACGAACGACCCTCTAAAGAAGATGGATGATGGGATATTGATGGGGAGGGAAGAGAATTTGATCTGGTTGAAGGGACGTCACTTTTCAACTTCACAAAGCAAGATGCTACTCCTAAGGTGGACCTTGAACTTGAGGGTAATAAGACAACGACTTGTGGTTAAAGACATGACCTGTGACTTGAACGAAACAGTTAGGTTTGTCTTGACATTGGGAGTATAACGTGTATGTCTGTCAATCTGTCTGTCTGTCTGTCTGGATGGATGTATGGATGGATGGATGGATGGATGGATGAGACGTGAAATACCTCCATGGTGGGCTGTGTGAGGGAGGAGAGAACTAGGCTACAGCATCAACAAGGACAAGACCCGCATGGCTAACTCAACAAATCGTCGTCAGGAGAAGATTTACCTGTATCGGGGAAGAGTGGCGTGGAGAGCCTTTGGTTACACGTCGTTATTGACTGTCTGAACGACGTAGTTTTAAACTCCCGAGGTCGTTCGTAGTGTTGTGGACTGCTGTTTTAAGTGTTTGAATTCTCGAAGTTTTTTTTGTGGGTTTTAATTCCTGTTTGATTCCTGTTACTCTTTGATTTCTTTCTTGTATTGTCACGTTATTTTTATTGGTTTATGATCTTCTAATCCCTTTTACATGACCCTGAGGACTCTACGTGTGGATATTGGGATGTCGTAGGCTGGGGGATGACCCTTGGGGCATGTGCTGGGTGTCTAGGATCTCCTTAGGCCTTTAGGGTATGGGAGTATCCTAGACTGGAGGATATTATTGGGGTATCCTAGGCTGTTGAGTGCCCTTAGGGGCATGGGGGTCTCGGTTGAGGGTCCTTCTGCAGGCATGGGGATGTATTAGGCTGGGGTGCCCTTAGGGACATGCAAGTGTTTGAAAATAGGGTTATGGGTATGTCCCTGATGGCAAGAGGATACTCGTGACATAGGGCATCCTTGGGGACATAAGGGTATACTAAACTAGAGGCATTAGGGAGCCTAAAACAGTGGACATGGCAGGTGTCTGAAAGTGTCCTGGGTGCGTGTTGGTGACCAGGGGGGAGGCGGGACGGGGGAGTGGTGGCGCGGCGGGGGTCATTGCAGGTCTTGCGGGAATCAATAGATTGTAGAGTAGCATCCCTCCTCTCCCCTCTCTCTTCTCCTTTCCCCTCCAAACTTTCCTCCTCTTCCTCCTCCTGTGTCCTCTCGACCCAGAAAGCCCCCCCCCCCTCTTCTTTGCCAGTGTCCTGGTCACAGGCCTAACCTAAAACACCACCCACCCACCCACCCACCCCAGTCACCTTCCGTCCGTCCGCTCACCGACACCACTAGCATCCGTCCGTCCGTTCGTCCAGTTCTTCCCTACCTCGCATACATACCCGCCACCCCATCCTCATCCTCTCCCTGTTACCCATTTATCCTGATCCTGACACATCCTGACACATCCTGCTCCTTGTTGTGTGAGTGATCGAGATTACACACACACACACACACAGTGGTCGTGTAGACAGTACCCGTGAAACAGTCGGCCAGGGTTTAGGTGTCCAGCGAGGAAATCACAAAGTTTCCCCGCCACGATTGGCTCCCCCCCCCTCCCCGAGCTAAAATGCTATTAACGAGACTTACGCGGTATTGCCCAGTGGGAATAACGGCCGTGTGTGTGTGTGTGTGTGTAATTTTCCATATTAGAGAATCTTGTGTCATCTGTCTGTACTTCGTGGGAGGAGGAGGGAGGAGAGGGGAAGAGGGAAGGGGGAAAGCTTGAAGACTCCTGAGACTCTCTTTCCACCCGATAACTTTCTGGGTCAACATCTCGACCTCCTGTGACATGTCAATCTTCTTCATGTGTACAGTACAGTAGAGTCCCAGTTGTATCATGGACTGTAGCCTTGTATTCTGAGTCACCTAAACTAGCCTAACCCAACCTAACCTAGTTCCTGTAACACCATATTTTGAAGACCTTTAACCTTCTTTTGTGTCTAGTTAAAGTGCCAGTTGCCGACACTTAACTTCTGCTTACTGGGATTAAGCTGTCAGCTGCAGTCAATACCATTTGACAGCCGCTGACCGCAACATGCTTCTGACATCCGGCCTGTCAGTTATCCGAACATGTAAGTGGAAAATTACTTAATATTTACCATTCCGCTCTCAAAGCACTGTTCGGTTAAGAGGTTGTTGATTAATCCCGATAAACGAAGATATTAGCCACTGAGGTTATTGATAAACCACTTTTGTTTGTCCGGTTAAGTGAAGGGATCGAGTAAATTCGGATAAGTCAGGTGATCCGCATAAACGAAGGACCATGATAAGTGAAGTTCGGATAAATGTTCCTAGAACCTGAAAATAAAAAATGTATTTATTGGTTTTTCGGTTAAATGATGAATACGGATAAATGGGACTCGGAAAAGGGTTGATTTTTAATACAAGTCGGATTGGTGATATAATTTAGTTATGATTGAGTTATGAGAGTATAAGGCTTCACCCGCCCCTCTCTGGTAACCCGTCCAACTGATGACTGTATAATGAAGTGTGGGGAGATGTGTAAGTGTGGGGAGATGTGTAAGTGTGGGGAGATGTGTAAGTGTGGGGAGATGTGTAAGTGTGGAGAGATGTGTAAGTGTGGGGGGATGTGTAAGTGTGGGGAGACGTGTAAGTGTGGAGAGATGTGTAAGTGTGGGGGGATGTGTAGTAATAATAATAATAATAATAATAATAATAATAATAATAATAATAATAATAATAATAATAATAATAATAATGATAATAATAATAATAATAATAATAATAATAATAATAATAATAATAATAAACGGTTTATTAATAGAGTTGCAGCCGGTGGCTGAAAATATACAGACTTGCATTTAATTTAGACATAATGATGTAATATGCATTGAATACATTTACCGGGCTGTGCAGTACATAAGTCAGGAGTTGTTTATTATTTTAACAATAGATGGGATGGTGCTGTTCTTATATCTATCGGTGCGGGCTCTTATGGGCTGAATTTTGTTGTAGTGGCGGACTGCGCGAGTTGGGTGGGGGGCTGCAGGAGGTGGCGATGGCGAGGGTGGTGCAGTAGTTCACGGCCAAACCTTTCCAGTGCTTGGTGGTGGAGGTCACTGAGGGATGGCATTTCCAGGGTGGAGAGAGCGTTGGTGTAGCCGGAGTATTCTGCGCCGAGCATGATTCTGCAGGCCCTTTTCTGTACTTTCTCTAGCTGACGTTGTTGGGTGGAGTTGAGAGAAGACGACCAGGCTGGTGACGCATATGTTAGTTTGGGGAGAATAAAGGCGTTGTAGATGGTCCTCAGCTCTGGCGTGGGTGTCCCAAGTGACCTAAGTCTTCGTAGCATGTAGAGACGGTACGAGGCTGCCTTGACTGTGTTACTTACATGGGCCTTCCAGTGAAGTTTATTGTCTATAGTTACACCCAGGAGTTTGGCAGACTGCACCAGCTGGAGAGGATGGGCACCCACTGTGACTGCTGGGGCTTGCACTGGAGTGGTGGCGGTATTGATGTCCATGACTACGGTTTTGGTGGGGAGATGTGTAAGTGTGGGAGGATGTGTAAGTGTGGGAGGATGTGTAAGTGTGGGGAGATATGTAAGTGTGGGAGATGTGTAAGTGTGGGGAGATGTGTAAGTGTGGGGAGATGTGTAAGTGTGGGGAGATGTGTGTGTGGGTGTGGGAGGATGTGTGGGGTAAGGGAGATATGTAAGTGTGGAGATGTGTAAGTGTGGGGAGATGTGTAAGTGTGGGAGATGTGTAAGTGTGGGAGGATGTGTAAGTGTGGGAGGATGTGTAAGTGTGGGGAGATGTGTAAGTGTGGGGAGATTAATGTACGTGGGGGAGATGTAAACGTGTGTGTGTGTGTTGTCTCCGTGTTTTACGTGGGGGCAACACACTGGGTCAGGAATGGCTGGAACGCTGGCCTCGCGGACCCACCAGCCCAATACTGATGTAAAACTTGTTGGGCAATATTTGGTTCACCTCCCCCCTCCCTTCCCTTCCTCTCTCCCCTCCCTCCCATCCACCCCAGTATGAAAGCAAGCCAGTCAGCCACCCAGCCAGCAAGCCACCCAGCCAGCAAGCCACCCAGCCAGCAAGCCACCCAGCCAACAAGCCACCCACTTTAGCCACCCAGCACCACACGTTCATCACTACCGATCCATTTTCACCTCTCTCTCTCTCTCCTCGTGTCCCGTGGCTTAGTGTGTGTGTGTGTGTGTGTGTGTCCCGTCCTATTCTTACAACCTGTCATTTTCCCCCTCACCTTAATTGGTCCCTGCTGGAATACCTGTCAAGAGTGTAGCTGTATTAGGGAAAGGTAAACGAGTCTTTGGTCTCTATAGTTCGGTCCTGAGTCCACCTTACTGAGAGACACTTTCCCTCTTGGGTATAATGTGTGCTTTCTACCCTGACTGATCTGACTAAGAGAATATTTTTCCCCCTTTGGTGTCAAGTGTTTTTATCTGTTTTCTTGTATAGCCTCTGGACACACCTGAGTGACTTTGTTTACATTTTACAGGTGGAGGAGTACGCAAGATGCACATTGTCCACAACAGCGAGACGCCCACCACCACCTACGCTATCCTCGACACTGGCTCCAAGCAGGTACTGTGTGTGTGTGTGTGTGTGTGTGTGTGTGTGTGTGTGAGGTATATCCTGATGGTATTTGAGTGTGATATATCCTGGTAGCCTGAGTCTGGACGTGAGAGTGACCAGCAGGCCATAAAGGGAGGCTCCGGGCCGGGTGTTAGTGTAGGTCATCCCGTGAAAGGCGCCGTGGTGAACCGCCTCATCTCTCGATTACTGAGTGACCGCTCCTCTTCCCCCTTCCTCTCCTCCCCAACCCTAATCCTACCCCTTCCCTCCCTCTACCCTTACGCCCCCCCCCCCCAAGCCTGATGTGCCTCCCTCTCACTGAACCCACTTCTCACTCTCCCACGCTCACTCTAACTCTCCCACGCTGCTACTGTACGCTTTGCTCTCCCACACTCACTCACTCCTCCTCGTCCTCTTCCTGTATTCCTTGAGACTTTTCTATTACAACCAACCAACAGCTTATCAGTTGTAGGTGTAAGTTTGGTTAGGTTAGGTAGGCCGCATAAGTTTGGTTCTGCTACGTCAAGTTTGGTTACGATTGTATTTGACATTAGTTAGGTCAAGTCTGGTTAAGTTTGAGGTAGCCTTAGGTTAAGTTAAGACTAAGTTTAGGTCAAGTTTGGTTAGGTTAAGTTAGCTCAAGATTACTTAATCGTGTCCATAGAAGCTCTCTCAAGATTGACTTAGAATCTGGGGCTCCCGGTGTAAGCTCTGAGCCCAGGTAAATGAAGACACGACCACACTTACCTGACAAAGCGCTGTACGAAGGTGGGGGGAGGAGGGGGAGTTACCACGTTTTTTTCACGGGCATTATTGTCTGCATTTGGGTGAAAATTGAGATGAAAAGAGGCCGGAAATTGAAAAGCTTGGCCGCCGTGAAATTGGCTGAGTTGCGGAGTAGGGGCGGCTACGGTGGCGGCCAGTGTGTGTGTGTGTGGTGTGTGTAGACCATGGATCGTCTCCAAGGTTGGTGAATCGTCTCTTAAATGGATGAATGGTCTCCTAGGTGGGTGAATGGTCTCCTAGGTGGATGAATCGTCTCTTAAATGGATGAATCGTTTCCTAGGTGGGTAAATCGTCTCCTAGATGGGTGAATTGTCTCCTAGATGGGTGAATCGTCTCCTAAATGGATAAATCGTCTCCTAGGTAGATGAAAATTCTCATGGCTTCATAAATATCCCCTCTATTTACACAGTTACAAACAGATACCCTCTTTACTTAACCCCAGCCAACAGGTAACTTCCCATTCCTCTCCTTAATGATCTTTTTGTTCTCGCCAGGTAACACTCTCAGCTGACTACCTCTTCGACCTCATGCTGCCGCGCCTCGACCACATGTATCAATCTAAGAAGAACCTGAAGATAGAGTCCAAGGGCGCCAAGTACGAGATCGGTGACTTCCTGGTTAAGATTGGTAGTGTCACCATGAGCGGCCACTATAAGGGCATCCTGGTTGAGGTCAGTGGGCGTGGTTGCAGGCGCGGTTTTTAATTTTGTTTTGTTAAGTGTGTTTGATTTGGTGGAGTTATTTTTATGTATTTTTTTGTGTGTTTCTGAGTGTTTTTTTTGTTGATTGTTAACTGATTTTGTGCCTTTGTATATGTTTTAAGTGAGTGAGTGAGTGAGTGAGTGAGTGAGTGAGTGAAGAAGGGAGTGATTAAGCTGTGTGTGTGTGTGTGTGTGTGTGTGTGTGTGTGTGTGTGTGACCATACCTTCACCACACAGTACCTCAGGTTTCCATGTCTCCTGCAGGTTGAGTACCTCCCCTGTGTCACCCCGGCGCTGTGTTGGTCACTCGTCAGGGAGTTTATGCAGAGCTTCATGGGTTCCTGTGTCAAGCCCACCTTACCAAGCTATCTCCAGGTGAGTTGTGTCAGGTGTAACGCTCTCTCTAACCTCCAGGTGTCATGTCTTACGCTGTCTAACCTCCAGGTGTCATGTCTCACACTCTAACCTCCAGGGTAGTATGGATCATGTGTGTGACAAGTAGAGTTCCTGTATCGACCCTAATGAAGCGTGAATAATCTTCCCTTATGTTAAGACTCAACGATAATGACCAATTACATCCATGTCATTAGTTCTAGATGTACGAACGACTAAACCATCCACGAAATTCATCTCACAACACCCCCCTCCCCAAAAAAATTCCTCGACACCTCATCCTAATGTATTACACCTGGCTCTCACCTCATTACCTTCCCATCCAGGTGTGTGATTATGTTTTTCTCTCTCCTCAGCCTCCGTCAGTATATTGAAGGCATGGAACAGGTCTTGTCTGGGGAGTCATGATGTGAGGAGAATAAACAAAAAAAGGAGTATCGACAGTGGAAGTGTCTTGTATGCTGAGGGTGTAGTGAAGAGTGTTTATGGTGAGGGATGTAGTGAGTGTGATGGTGTAGTGGGTGGCTGGGTGGTGGGGGTGGGTTGGCAGGGTGGTGGTGGGTGTTAGAATGGCAGAGTAGTGGATGAAGAGGTGGGTAAGGTAGTGGGTATCAGGGTGTCTGGATAGCTGGATGGCAGAGAGGTCAATGGTGGCGGGGTAGTAATGTGTCAGGGTAGTAGGGTATAAGTGGGGTGTCAGGGTGGCAGAGTTAGGTGGGAGGGGTAGTAAGGTATCAGGGCGTTAGTAGTAGGTGTCAGGGTGACAGTATAGTGCAGCACCCAAGGCGAGGTATATATATATATATATATATATATATATATATATATATATATATATATATATATATATATATATATATATATATATATATATATATATATATATATATATATATATATATATACACAATGAGGCCAAGGTTAGGTTACTCGTCATCCCTCTTCAACACACCATGAATCTCGACTCTGGGTCTTCATGGCAGCCAAATGACTCCCCACCTCTCCTGGTTCACTCTTCCGACGCTCTGATACGGCTCATTTCAAGGGTTTCATTCCAAGGCGTTCGGAGAGATGGTTCGTTCCAGGGTTCTTAGGTAGGGTTCATTTCAGTCTGTTTCTTGTGTTCTTGGATCTGTTTCTCTGTCTGTGTGTGTGTGTGTGTGTGTGTCTATCCTTGTGTGTGCGTGTGTCTGTCTCGTCGTGTGTGTATATGTGTGTATGTCTGTCTCTCTATATATCTGTCTATGTCCTTGTGTCAATCTGTCTGCCTCTCTGTCTGTCAATTTTTTTTTTCCGTCACCGCTCTCCTAAAACAAATTCCTATCAGATGGATTCGGAATCAAAGTCAGTACAGTACACGTCTGCTTGTTTTGGTGAGGCAGGAAGACCTATTGATTCTAGGCCCTGGGGGGTGGGGGGGTAGGTGTTTCGTGCGTCTCTCTCTCTCTCTCTTGTTAACTTTGGTTCTATCTCCCTATTTGTCTCTTATCTTCTCCTATCATCCTTAAACTTTATCTTCCTATCCTCTGGTGCATCCCCCCCTCCCCCCCTCCTTCATCCACCTGCCTTATACCTTCTCTATCCTCATTTCCCTCTCCCTATCCTTACGTTCCCTATCCTCCCTATTCTGAGGTTAGGTTACGGGAGGGTGGGATCCTCTGGGGTGTCTAATCTTCAGGTGGTTGTCAACATATCGCCAGGTAAAAGAGGAAATGCTGAGTCACGTCATTTAAGATAAATTACCTCGAGGCTTCTGTTCCTAAGTCCCTTCAAGCCTCCCACTCTCTTCCCTTCCTCCTCCTCCTCCTCCTCCTCTTCTTCCTCCTTCTCTTCCTACCCTCCTTTCTCCTGGGTCGCGAAAAGAGCAGCTTGTGTTGATTTTGTTTCCTTACTTGAGGTACAATATCTCCAAAATAACTAGAAGTACCTCCAAATCACCTCCAAAACACTTGAATTATCTCTACAAATATCCGAAACACCTCCAAAGCCCTTTTCTTATCTCCAAAATGAGATATCTGTCCACCAGGAGATAATCAAGCAAAGTTTATCTCACCTGGACAGTTCAGGTGTGTGTGTGTGGCGATCAGCTGATGGCCAGGAATGTAAACAAAGGCCTGAGTGAACAAGTATACACACGTTTACGAGAGCTGATGGTTGTCCGTCTCGATGCTATCAAGATAATGGCGGCGTGAAAAAAAAATACCACTGGAAGTTTTATCGGAAAGAAATTGACGGGGAGGAAATTCACCAACGGGAGAAAGTTGAGGAGGAGTTGAAAGGTTTTGTTGACTTCGTGTGGTTATATACACGCCCACATATGTACACACACACACATACATACATACATAAAGGGAAAACGTACATACACACAAAACATATACAGAGAGGATAATTGTAAGCTCTTGGAGAGGAGTGGCCCTCCAGTCACCAGCAGTGCCACTTACCGTAATGACCACTAGCATTAGCAGCCATTACCCGCTGGTGGTGGTAGTGGTGGCAGTGATTTTGGTGGTAATGGTGGTGGTAGTTTTGATGGTAGTGTTAGTAGTGGTGGTGGTGGTAGTGGTAGCTTAGAAAAACAAGAAGAAGAAAAGGGAGGAGGAAGAGATAGTTAAAGGAGAAAGAATACGAAGGAAAAGAGTAGGAAGAGAATGAAGAAGAGGGAGGGAGCAAGGAGGAAGGAAGGAAGGAGGAGAAAAGCAACAGATTACACCGCGATAGGGACCTTAACACCAGCAGTAAACTAGCCTACAAGCCTCCCTGCCTCCTGGTGCCACGTACGACCCTACCTCACCCTCCTCCAGGTCCTACCACATACGGTACTACCTCCTCTCCCACAGGTGCTAGGCTGTGTACAAGTTATGTGGTATACGATTGAATTACATGTGGTATGGGCAGTGTAGTGGGTGAGCTGGTTTATGAAGGGGTGTTTCATTTTTATCACCTTCTCTTCTTCTCCCACTAATCTTCTTTTGTTTAACTATTTATCTGATTTCCTACCAATTTGATCTGATTTCCTAAAAATTTTTGTCTGATTTCCTAAATTTTTTATCTGATTTCCTACCAATTTTATCTAATGTCCCTGTACTTTCCTTATCTTTCCTATTACGTCTGATTTCCCTATTTCCCCCTGATAGGTGAATGACCTGACTCCCCCTGGTGGGTGAGTGGGCGTAACTCTACCTGGTGAATGGAGGAGGCGGTCAATCCACTTGTCGTATCCGTCTCCTCTCCTCCTGTTTACTCTCCTCGTTAACGCCCCCCCTCCCCCTCCCTCCTCTTCCTACCCCTCCTCCTCCTCTCCTCTCCCACTCCATCCTCCTCCTCCTCCTCCTCTCCCACTCCAACCTCCTCCTCTCCTATCCTATCCCACGTCCTCCTCTTCCCGTATCTCCCATCCCCTTGACTGTCCCCGTTCCCATTCCTCCTCTTCCATTAAGTGAGAAAAATAACTGTCCAAAACAAATGAATGTCTGTGTATATAATTAAGTTCACAAATAACAAAAACAACGACAACAGCAACAAAAACATCCAACAAAAACACTCGGCCAAAAACAAAAATAAAACAACTGACAACAAAAACGTGGAGAGGAATCACGTGTTAGCGACCAGAAAGAAGCTCTATGTTGTTCTTCCTGAGTGGTGACGTTTTTGTGTCTGGTGTACTCTCTCTCTCTCTCTCTCTCTCTCTCTCTCTCTCTCTCTCTCTCTCTCTCTCTCTCTCTCTCGTCAGCACTCTTACTCATTTACCTCACCTGGCTGGCCTCACCCACCCACCCACCCACCACCCACCATATGGCCCCTTTAAACCCCCTTGATATGGCCCTTAAATTGAATTACTATTTAATTAACCTCCCTGACTCCGTCTCTCCTGGTGTTCACGACTAATTATTACCAGATCCATCTTCTCTAATGCTGTGGTGTTTATTATTTACTTCTCTGTTTTGGTAATACTTATAAAACTGTATAGGATTGAGACGCCATTTGACTACAGAAAATATACAGGTACAGATATATAATAATAGTACATATATGATAATGATCAGTGTATATGTACAATGAAAAGTCACATGTGTAGATAATATTTTATATCTATGTACACATTATTGTCTCATCTTGTACACACAGTAAGTCATTATACAAACAGTACACACACATATGTACATCAATTACGTCACCTTGTACACACGGGAAAGTTTTTTTTTATAACGAATACGACAATGTAAGTGTGGCAGGTGTCTCACACAGGAGCGTCATGACACACTCAGGTACAAAGCGTCACACACAGCTCTGTTTAAGGTTCGTCTTCTTCCTAGAATGTGTGAGGTGGGTGGCGTGGGCGTTGTTGTGTTCCCTTAACAGTAGTGGTAATACTCACAAGTGCTGTCTGGTGAGGGAGGGGGTGGGGGTGAGAAATGGAAAGAATGAGATGAAGGGAAGGAAGGGAGGGAGGAGGGAAGGGATCAGGATTAGGGTGAGGGACTGAGGAGGTGAAGGTGGAGGGAGGTCTTGGAGGTGATTGGGAGGTAGAGGGCGGTATAGGGGTTGACTTAGGAGGTAATGATTAGGGGAGAGTGCCTGTCAAGTGAATAGGGGCAGAGGGGCGTCTGAGGAAGGACTAGGGAGGGACGGTAGAGGTGTGGGGTGCTTGGGGAGGGAGATTGGAGGAAAGGAAGGGAAGGGACAGAGAGTGGAAGAAATTACGAAGAAGGGGAGGGGAGGGTGGAAGGAATTAAGGGGAAGGGAAGAGGGAGGACGGTGAGGTGGAGGGGAGGAGGGGCGGGTTATCCAGATTGCCAACTGCCCTGTAAGGAGTGGTTCGTCTTGACACAGGATTCAGGAAGCCGTATAGTGTGTGCCTGGCTTGAGTCTCTTCCTCACCAGATCAGGGGAGAAGGAAGGAAGGAGGGAGGGAGGGAGGTGAGAGAAAGAGGGAATGAGGGAGAATGGGGGGAAAGAGGGAGGGAGTTCGGATGGAAGGAGGGAGGAATGAGGGATGGTGGGAGGGAGGGAGAGTAAGAGGGAATGAGGAAGGGAGAGAGGGAAGGAAGGAGGGAGGGGAAGGGCTAGGCACCCCACCATCACCGAAGTTGGCACTGAGTGGAGGGTGGCACAGGTAAAGCTCATTACCTGGAGTTTACCTGTCTGTTTACTGAGCCTCTGCCTTCTGTCTCCTCTCCCTCTCTGTTTTGTTCTTCCTACTTGTTTCTCCTTCCTTCTGTTTCGTTTCTCCTTCCGTCTGCCCTTTTCCTCCTTCCATGTCCTCTTCTTCCCCCGCCGCTTAATTCTTCATTTCTTTCCTCCTTCACTTCAAGATGTTATTTCATTTATTGCTCTCCTTCACATCTCCCTTCCTTCTCCTTGTCTCTCCCTCACACCCCTTCTTTTCCTCCTCATTCCTCTTTCACCTCTCTCCTTCTGTACCTTACCTGGTCGAATCGCATATCGTCGTGTAAAATGATTGTCTGTAAGAGAAGTGAGGCACGGTGTTGAGGGTGGCGGCATCAAGTTCTTCCTCAGGAGAGTCCCGATCATGGTAGTATCCTGAAGAAGGTTGTAGGGCCTGTGTGTGGTCTCAGGTCTCTCTTCATCTTGCACAACACTGTCGAATAAAACTGGTGGAGCTTCTGTGGAAGATTTGGGGCTGTGGTGAAGCTTCTGTGGTAGACTTGGGGCTGTGGTGGAGCTTCTGTGGTAGACTTGGGGCTGTGGTGAAGCTTCTTGTACTCAGAGCTTTATCACCTCTTAAGCAGCGTATGCACCCCCTTGTTCTCCTACCTCAGAGTTACAGATCACTGCCTTACATTACTTTCTCACGTTGTTATATATCATATTTATAACCAATTTAACTCACTTACAAAACCCCGGGAATGAATTTTTATTAATTTAACTTAATTGATATGTGCATTTTTTTTATAATTCTGTATGTGTGAAAAGTGGCATTTGCATATATTGTAATACAACTGACAGGGTGTCATGCTGGTTCAATGTGAATATTTATCAGGTGTATACAGTTATTTTTCATTCCTGTGGTAATACTGTGTGATGATGTATTGTAATATGTGGTAATGTGTGGTAATGTGTGGTAATGTGCGGTAATGTGCGGTAATGTGGATCTTCTCCTTTGATAGACTCGTCTACACGACATCCACACCCCACAAGACACGGTTCAACAGTACGTGGAAAAGTTCAACGAGTTCCGTGACGGACCTTCCTTTACTGCCACACAGCCGGCCACCCCAGCCACCTAGCCCATCACCCCTGTCTCTCCTAGGACGTGCCCTGCCTTCCCCGTCTCTTCCGGCCCCTACCCTCCCATCCCTGTCCCTTCTCGGATGTACCCCACCGCTCCTGTCTGCTCACGGCCGTATCCTCCCAACCTAGTCTCGTCTAATGCCTATCCTGTCTTCCATGGTCCCTATCCTGCCCTCCCACCATTGGCTAGTTCATACCCTGTCATGCCTGTTTCTCACTGTACCTATCCTGCCATTCCTGCTTCCCCCAGTACTTCCTCTACCTCACCCAACACCTAGTCAGGAGTTCTTTCCACTGCCAGTACCTAGCTCATAACCTCTCACTCCCACAGTAAATATTATGTCAGTACTGCCTCTTCCCCCAACACCTACCCTTTCACCCTGTCTCACTCACTAACCCTGTAACCCTGACCTCCTCCCTCCCCCCTGCCTATCCCTATACATACCCTACCACCGAAATATATAAGGCATTCATTAAATATTTTTTTGTGTTATGTTATTAAATTCTCATCAGCCCTTGACATAAACACAACATCCACTCCTGAACCATAGTGAAAGTGACGGTAATTCTCACCCAAACATTATTACTCGTCTCTGTGGCTCATGTTAACCACTTAATTTGTGATTTTAATTATTGTTTATTACTAATTAATCATAGACAATTAAGTTGGATAAATAAAAGGAGAAGATAAAGTATTTTTTTTTTTTTTTGAATAACCATAAACAAAGAAGTGGAAATAGTCTTGATGAAATTGGGTAAGAGGAGAAAATAGAAGAGTAAATAGAAGAGAAAATAGGAGTAAATAGGAGAAAATAGAAAAGAAATAAATAGAAGAAGATAAAATATAAGAGAAGTAAAGATTGTAAATGACGCAGAAGATTACTTTACTTACACTGTTAATAAAATCTACATAACAGCATTGTAAATAATAGGAGACATAACTATTGCTATTGTACAAGTAAGGGGTGACGACTAGACCTATATTATCATAGTTATAGGTGATTAATGTAGTTGTGTATATATTATTAGGTGTTTAAAGATACTGATGTGTTGTTATTAAAGAGAAGGGGGGAGATGTGGTACTAGTATATATAGTGGTGGTTGATGGTAGTGGTTGGTGGTTGATGGTAGTGATTGGTGGTTGATGGTAGTAATTGGTGAGAGAAAGATAGAGAGATAACTATGGTAGGTCGTCGCCCCACACACTATAAACAACAGGTACTTGTAATATGGTAATAAATGTTATGAGAATCTTTTGAGTTTTTTATTCCAGTTTGATCGTATAAAGATATTGAACGGTTGGTTATAGAGGACAGTGAACGAGAGATAACAGGACACGAACACACAGCAGGGAACAGACGCCGGGGAACACACACAGACGCCGGGGAACACAAACAGACGCCGGGGAACACAAACAGACGCCAGGAAACACACACAGACGCCGGGGAACACAAACAGACGCCGGGGAACACAAACAGACGCCAGGGAACACACACAGACGTCAGGGAACATAAACAGACGCCGGGGAACACACACAGACGCCAGGGAACATAAACAGACGCCGGGGAACACACACAGACGCCAGGGAACACACACAGACGTCAGGGAACATAAACAGACGCCAAGGAACACACACAGACGCCAGGAAACACACACAGACGTCAGGGAACATAAACAGATGCCAGGGAACACAAACAGACGCCAGGGAACACACACAGACGCCAGGGAACACACACAGACGCCAGGGATCCACAAACAGACGCCAGGGACAGTGAGAGAGAGATTTACGTCCCATCATAAGCATAACCAAACGTGCTCCTTTTATAAAACCAGAGAGAAAAACAACCGCCAGCACCCAAGAGTCTCGTGCTATCAATGCCACCACCGTCCACTCCAGCCAAACAAATAGGGTGTATATGGACGCCCGCCATACATACCAATTCCGTCACCCGCCGGCCCTTGTGTGTGTGTGTGGAGGTAGTTTCTTGTAATACTCCTACAGTGTACGTGTCCTCCATCCTTACGTACACACACACACATACATCCATCTACACACAGTTTTCCACCCACGTTCCAAATCTTGACATTTCCCCAGCGTGATTTACCACTAATGAACGACACCGCTAATGAAAACCAACACAAGGAGCTGAGAAAACTTCCTCTTTCGTCCTGAGGGAGCCTCACTGAGATACACAAAGGACAAGAACTCGAGAAAAACAAAAAGTGAGATACAAAAAAATATAAATGAACGTGAAGCAGCGAGGAAAAACAAAAATAAAACTATAAAAAAAGACAAAAACAATTCAGTACCCCCACCACAAAAACATAAACAACAATTTTTCATTTTGAAGTTTCCAGGACCGTAAGAGGCGAGGCGCAGAAAGATGAATTTTTGACAAGAAACTGCAAAGCCAAAAGACGTCATCACAAGATGGTCTCAGAGTCCTCATGACCGAAACGAAATAAAGAAGAATGTCAGGAAGGACTTGGCTCTAAAAATATCCTCTTGTCAAACTCTGGTGGTGAACGACTGAACCTCTCCTCACCCACCCCCCCTTTACCTATACCTTCACTTACCCTCTACCTACCCATCACCCTCCGTCCACCTCACCTCCCCCCCACCCTCCGCCTACCCACCCTTCTCCCTCCACCCCCACTTACCCCCTCCCCCCTCCACACACACACACACCAAGTTGTCTGAGTGGAGGACAAAGCCGTCGGGGAACAAGGCGGAAAGAATGTCGCACACTGGACGCCGAGACGCCCCTGCTAACTTCTTGTTGCAGAAGGTGTTGTTGATGGAGGGTGTGATGCTTCCACCACAATATATATTCCTTTACATCTTACACGTCATGCTGGTGTGTGTGTGTGTGTGTGTGCGCGCGTCACTCTTGGTCTCATCTGATAACAACAGTCAAGTAATTCCTGGTGTGGTGGATCAACACTAAAACACATTTTGCTGAATATCGAAAACCACAATAGAAAACAAACTTTATATACGATTTAAAAAAAAACTTAAAAAAGTAAAAAAAAAAAATTGTGCTTTCAGAAATTAAAATTGTAAGGTTTCAAGTATAGACTATCTCGATTGCCTTGTTTGAAGTGACCAGTTTACACATCTAACTTCTTTTTCTCATAAAATCTAAGTAAAAGACTGTACAGTCTCATTCAAGATTCTTTGAACACTGCTGGAGACAGCTGGCAACTCAGGGCCGTTTGTTTACTATAGTACGTAGTATAATATAATACGAAATAACAAAGCCCAACCATTAAATTAAGCAACGAGGAACTAAGTAACCAATCAAGGATCACTTCTACATTTATTCATAATTTTTACTATGTGCTATAGTAAACAGACGGCCTTAAGTTGCCAGCTGTCTCCAGCAGTGTTCGTAGAAGGCTCATGTTCCGACTGCAGTGAAGGTCAAATTTGTATAAAACTCGTTGACATATACTATAAAAAAAATATAGTAACTTCCGTGCATGACAACTTCTAAACATTTACCCATTCAGGCGAGTAAAAATTTACAACAAACGAAATTACATTTACGAACCTTTGAGAATCCTGCCTCTGTGTCCCGTGCTGTTATGTCTTCAGTCAGTTCGGTAGTCGAACCTGAGGCCTTCATCACAAACAGCGGGTACATAGCCCTTGCCACTGAACCACCACACTCCTGTTCTGAAATGTTTACATGACCATGTCACTTCACTGAAACTGTTTATATGACCATGATTTCTTTCAATCTTGTTTAGAAGCTTTACAAACTACTAGGTAATTATTGATGATTGACCAGCCGCTGATTTTTCAAAACGCCACAATTTTACTTTTGTTTTATTGTGGACACAGTTGTAGCTTAGGCAAATGGGTTAAAAAGTGGTCATATTAAACGATAAGAACTTACTGTGATCAGGTGTAAGTTTGCGTTCCCCAGCAGCACCACAGTCACTTTTCAGCACCACATAATCACTTTCCTAGCAACACTATCACGTGCGTTCCCCAGCAGCACCACAGTCACTTTTCAGCACCACATAATCACTTTCCTAGCAACACTATCACGTGTACTTATATGTGACCAAGAGTTAGCATCGGGCAGGGAGGTGGCCCAGCCCGGCAGGTGAGAGGACACAGGTGTTGCAAGCCGGCAAGAGCACAGCGGCTACACTGCCCCCATTCTCAAGATTACTGAAGCTTGGAATGAATGAATTAATGTACGAATGTTCGGAATAATGTTCTGAAGCATGGAAGCAATTTACTTATTCACTCAATCAGAATAAACTGAAGCGCCTACGTTTGAAATATCATTCGTAAAAGAGGTGAGGGTGGGAGTAGTATACTTACCTGTCCTTTTGATGTAATAGTTTTTTTGTCAATAAAGGATTCTGATAAACTGGATTCACAGCTCCATGACTCCTGATTCGGAGCTTCGTTCATGAAATGATTCGAATCCTTGGTGTTTCATGAAGCCTTAGATATGACGTCATGAGTGGGAGGAGCTTAAGAGAGACGTGTTTGGTAATGTAATGATCATTGTGATTATTTTTGGCCGCTAATAACACCATAATGATAACAATTACTTTAAAATACCTTCAATAATTACTAACTTAATTAGATAATGTGCATTAGATCTTTACTTAACCCAAATTTATTGAGTTTTATCCGTATGTATCTTTACAACCACAACCATACTATTGAGGTAGACCCGTCTCTCTCTCTCTCTCTCTCTCGTCGGGTGTAGAAGATGATATAGGTGGTATCCGTGGGTGTATTTAGGTGTAGGTGGCAGGTGTAGATAGTATGCGTGGGTGTAGATAGGTATGAATTGTTGTTGGTGGGTGTAGATGGGTGTAGGTGGGTGTAGATGGGTGTAGGTGGGTGTAGATGGGTGTAGATGGGTGTAGGTGGGTGTAGATGGGTGTAGGTGTAGGTGGGTGTAGGTGGGTGTAGATGGGTGTAGATGGGTGTGGGTGTAGATGGGTGTAGATGGGTGTAGATGGGTGTAGGTGGGTGTCGTGGAGGGAGGAACAGTTGGATGGGAGCCAGGTAGGTCAGGCTCAGCTCCCTCTTGTTGTGAAGTTCTTCCGATCACGGGAAGTTGAGGCGCTGTGACATATTGCTGCGGCAGTGTGGTGTTGGTGTGGTGATGGTGTGGTGTTGGTGTGGTGGTGTTGGTGTGGTGATGGTGTTGTGATGATGTGGTGTCGATACTGTGATGGTGTGGTGATGGTGTTGTGATGGTGTGGTGATGGTGTGGTGTTGGTGCTGTGTTGGTTAGTTCACCCTTCCACCTTCTATTAGTTCCACCATGCCCTTCCATCACTCCCACTAGTTCCACCCCTTCCACTTCCCTTCCATTCATTACCTCCCTTACCACAACCATCAACTCAACCTTGTCGTATATTTACAGGCGAGTCACGCGCCGGCCATCCCATAAATACTAGTAATCTAATAAATTTCTCATTTCGATAACTTCAATATTTCTTTCACAGACTCAAAACGCCTCGTAACGTTAGTGTGTGTGTGTGTGTGTGTGTAAACTCATAAATATTACCCAAATTCAGGGTTCTCTCCACTCAAAATAATATCAATAACATTTATATTCAGGGTCCCTTTACTCAAAACTCACAAGGAACGTAGTGCAGACGCAGGGTACAATACCTTTACTCAAAACTCATGATAAAACTCAATGTCTTTCTCCTTTATGATCTATCTCATTCCAAAACACAAAATCGATATTATCAAAAATTCAGAGACTATGACAAGGCGTAGAGATCTTGTGTCAGGGTAAACGTTTACAGTACACACACACACACATATATATTGTATACATATATCAGGTAGAAATATGTGTTCTGAAGTTTTCCTCTGGGCAGGGGAGAAGGGGGAGCTTAGGGAGGGAAGGAGGAAGGGAGAGAAACAGGGAGGGAGGGAGGGAAGGAGGGAGGGAGGCCAACACATCCCTCACACACACCCTGCTCAGATTTTATGCAAATTTTCCTGCTATCTTTTATGAAATGCCCAACCGTCCTCCCATTCCTCCCTCTCATCCATCCCTCCCTCCCTCCCTCCCTCCTCCTGGGTGACGACAATATATCAACAGGAGGAAGAGAAGCAGATTCAGGGGAGAGTTTGTGTTGGCTATGTAGAGGTCACTCAATGGTGACTATTATACGAAGCAAAATACTCTACCTGGATACATGTTAACTTATACTTAAATACTTATATATACAGACAACACTGATGGCTAAAATATAT